TCCTTGAGCTTTTCACAACAGCGTACATGATCGTACTGGTCCTGCGCCGCGTCACACGCTGCGCAGCTACCCTTATTTTTAAGTGCTTGGTCTTCACCTTGTATATGATGTATAACAATTACTGGCCGGTGTTTTTTCCCATCAATATAATCCACATGAAGAGAGAATACATTGTTTTTCTCGCTCACTATCGATGCAAGAATATTGCATTCTCTAATATTTTTGATTTTATTAGTTAACAATGTATGAACATATGGATTCTTATTTTTTTTATATTCTTTTATGTTGAAACGAATTTCATCGATTTTGGCTGTTATTAACATAATTATAATTTTAATTAAGGGCATAAATGACATTATATAAATAATATTAAGCCTTTACCTTCTAAAATTTGATGACCCATGACGTTCAACACTTTTTCTTTCAATTCCTTATCTAATAATTCAAATAATGAATAAACTTCCTCGTAGCCAATTATTTTCCATTCAGTCGCACTGTTAAGAGATTGTATCCAAAAATTTTTGTCATTTTGGGAATAGTCTGTCCCACCAATAATTGTTTCGGCGTTATTTGTATTTATATTATAATTGTTATACATATCCCTATTGTCATGAACAACATTAGCATTAGGATCAAAAACATTCGCGACTCCGACTCCAACTTGTGCTTTAGTAATTTTTGCTTCGGAATTTTCAGCTACAATAAATTAAATATGTAACTAAGCCGGCTTTTTTCGTGGTATAAATCAAGATTTATTATATCACAGAACATAATAGATCCGAATTTTAACCCTAATTAACGCACCTGAATTTTTAGTATATTTTTCATTCCTTATTATAGCACCTCCTAAAGTAAGACGTCGTGCATAAAAGTGGCCATATTTTCCCCATATTTCGCGAAGCTTACCTTTTTTCTCATTATCATGGATTGTATCATTCACCACATTTTTAACATCTTTAATAAAGATTTCTTCTGCAGTAACATTTTCTAACATAGGTAAATTTATTACCCCTCTTATTACTCGTTCATATGAATGTTTAGTATACTTCATGTGTTGTTCAAGTTTATTGTCAGAGTTTTCATGCGATAATCCAATGGAAGCAGAAACCCAATCTAAATAAGCAGCTGAAAGCTTTACATCAAATATAAGGGATCGATTACATTCTATGGTTGCTTCATGTTTGCATTCACATACTCCTTCACATTGCTGTTTTTTTTTTCTCTATCATAATTCCACTGAGATTAATTTTAAATGCTTGATGGTGTGCCTTTGTTACAGAACCATCTTCATTAATTCTGAATCCTTTTTCAAACCTTAATTTGGTCAAATCGAATTCAGCATTTTGAGTAATAATATATAATGAATAATGATTATCCTTCTTTTCAACGACTTCTAAAAGATCTAAATGATGCTCATCATTTGGATTAATCTCCGCTTTGTCTTGTGAAAAATGTAAAAAGCGACAATTTGATCCCATGTGGAGATCATCATCACCATCACATTCATTTTTTAAAAGCCTTGTGCGAACTTCATTAAGTTTAATCTTTCGTGGCAGTTGTTTAAAATAACTCTTTGATTTAATAACATTAATCTTAATGATATCGTTTTCGTTAGCTATTATTTTGTCGTTTTCATTTCTGCAGTTTTGGTTTTTATTTTCATTTTTAGATGTTATCATTTTTAACTTTTTTTGTCACCCATAACAATTGCATTGAAAAACAATTTATATCGATATGGCAAAATTTATATATCAGTACGTACGTACGTACGACGTACAACTTGTTTGTGTGATGCTGTACTGCACTACAGTATCCACTCCTTTTTTGGGGTATTGTTAGTACTGTACAGACTTTCAAAAAAAAGAAAAATTGCCTGCAATCTTACGTGTACATTGTAGCAAATATATACTATTGTTAATAATGTTATGCATCATTTTTGAAATTTGCTGATTACAAATTGACAAGTGTTATTTTTTTTAATCACCACCGATTAAAAAAATTAAAACTAAACTTACGGCGCATTTATGAAATTAGTGTATTTTGACCTACTATGAGGTGCGTCATTTACTATTTGTTTTTTGACATTTCTTATAGTAAAATCATATAGATAACGTCTAACCCATCTTTTCACGGGGAAGATTGGTTAGACGTTATATATATGATTTTACAATAAGAAAGGTCAAAAAAAAATAGTAAATGACACACCTCATACTCTAATTTCATAAATGCGCCGTAATGAATTTATCAATATCAAGGAAATTGCATAATATTTTATTGAAAAGCAAAAAAAGTATATAAAAGTACATTATATCTTATTTGTAAATATGTTTTATGCAATAAAAATCCCAAATTGGTTAATACTTTAATTTTCTATATTATATGGATCGATTTTCTAAGTCGTGAGTCTTTTGAGCAAATACTTCAAACTTTATTAATCAAAGAAAAAAAAGCGTTGTTTAGTGTCCAAAATACTATCAAGGGTTGTATAGGTCCTGAAAAGACCAATTGAAGACCGATCTTTTTGGCCAGTTACATGGTCTTTTGTTTCCAGTCTTTTAACAAGTTCAAACTTTATTAATAAACATAATAAACTATTAAAACAAGCTTTTAAATAGTTGAAAATACTATAAATAAACCTTTAAATAGTTAAAAAATCTTTAGGGAGCTGACAAATATTAGCTAATTATAGCCCCCCTGGAATTTTTAATTTGACCTCCCAGGGTCAGTCGTTTGGCTATTATAAATTGTTATTGTGATAAATCGAATTATCATATGGGGTTGAGTCAATAGAAATCAAGCAAATTTTTTCTAAGTAAATTTTTTTTAAACTTTAAATAACAATAATTTAACAAATCTTAATCAAATTTAATAATTTTTTTTCTTAAATAAATTCTACAAACTTACAGAATTTGTTTAAGAAATTTTATTAAATTTAATCAATTTTTTGTTAATTTATTAGCATATAAAGTTTTAAAAAAAATTCAATAAAAATAATTTGCTTGATTTCTATTGACTCAACCCCATATATAACAATTTATATTAGCCAAATGACTGACCCTGAGAGGTCAAATTAAAAATCCCAGGGGGGCTATAATTAGCTAATATTTGTCAGCTCCCTTATTGCATGAATTTTATTTCGATGATGATAGCTAAGATACTATTGGGACCAGTCTTATTAGCGACCGAGACAGACCAGATCAGACCGAGTCAACCCTATTACTATCGGTACGGTTGAGGAACTTCATTTAGTTAAAGAAGGCATGAATTGTGACGCACATCAAGCAACTGAACACGGAAGACAAGAAAAATCTTGAAAAAAGTTGGATTTTAATTTTGTATATTAAATAAAATTGGTAAAATTGATTTTATAGATTCAGCTTCATTATTTCTATATCCCACACAAGTAGTTGAAAATGATACGTTACTTTATAGACTCCCATTTAACGAAATAAATAGCCTTTTTAATGACAAAAACCATCATTTCAAATTTATCGAAAAAATGAAATAAAGTTTATACGTAAAATAAATACGTCATCTATCTGCCAAATTAGATTCCCGCACGTTAATTTTGAAACCCCCTAACGATGATTTTTGTCGTTGAGAAGTCTATTTATTTCGTTAAATTGACACTACCATTTCATTTTCCGATTTCAAAATTTTGATGCACAAAATAAAATTTTTTAAACTCTGAAACGCGCTATTTTTTATTTTTTTTTTTAATTTTGAACACCCTAATAACTTAAAACTTATATGATCCGACCATCATTTTGTATAGGCATAGAATCATATTTTTTTTTGAAAATTAAAATTAACCATCTAAATCAGGTCATCTCTAACTTTAACCACAAAATGTGATACAGTAATCCTATTAAATTTTGGCGGCGCTTCTAGAGATGGGCAACCACAGCATCACATGCATGCGCATGATGCGCACTCTTAGTTATGAAAAGATTTGTTCTGGCGATTACGATTAATAATATGAACGTATGACATAATTTTATCTAATTTTATCTGACTGGGATGTACGTTTTGCTCGTCTCTAAGCGCACCCCAAGATCAGGTGTAACACGATAGTCAAAAAAGTCGCATGTAAAATTAAAGTTACAAAAACCGTGTTATTGTTAGTATTAGGGTGGAACGCTTTTGTGGGTTTATTTTTCATGCGCCTGAAACCCCCTAGAAAGGAAATAGTCAATCGGAGTGCACAAAATTTGATTGTTCCGGATGAATTCCGAACACGTGCGAAAGAAGAAAAAAGCGAAAATACTCAGAAACTAGTGTTATATCGACCTTGGTGCACTAATTAAAATTTTCGGAACCGAAATTTTACATATAACGAGCAACAATCTATTGTTATACGCTCTAACCCTAAACTTCTATCTTTACGCACTTAGTCTATTATAAAATTCGATTTCTTTCCTTTTTTGGTTTGTGTTACTCGCACAAATAAGCAAAATGCTGAAACTGTGCTACTTTATCAGTTCAAAATTTTCATCAGCTGCTGGTATTTATAGCACTGGAAGTTATTATATTAGAGACGTCAACTAGGTAAGATTTAAGATTTTTAGAGTCTTAGTTTATATTGCTTCAGAGGCCTATCTGTTAAACATTTTTATCAGCTGATATTTATGACTTTATAGTTATTATATCAGAGACATCAACTAGGCAAAGCCTATTATTTTTAGAATCTTGCTCTGAGACTTTGTTGAGTTGTCAAAGGTCTATACAAGCTGCTGATATTTATATCTTCGATGTCATCATATCAGAGATGTCAACCGGACAAAGACTTATAATTTTCAGGATTTTCATGTTACTCTAGAGCTTTATCACCAGCCATCAATATTTGTGACTTTAGAATTAGTATATCAGAGACCAGGCAAAGATTTAGGATTTTTAAGATCTTACCTATATTTCTTTAAATGCTTTATCTGTTCATAGGTTTTGCTAGCTATCGATATCATGACTTTGGAGTTAATATATCAAAGATGTCAATCAAACAAAGACTTAGTTCTTATTTTATATCGCTCTAGATGCTTTATTGGGTCAACAGTTTATAAAAGCTACTGATGTTTATAGTTTTAGAGTTATTATGTAAGAGATGTCAACTAGACAAAATTTATAATTTATCTTATATTGCTTTATCTGGTTAAAAGTTTGCACAAGTACCAATATTTATGGCTTTGGAGTTTTATGTTAAGACCACAATTCAAAATTTTAAGATCACACTTTATGTCGCAGTTAAGTTTCATCAACTTCCAATGTTTGTAGCCTTGAAGTCATTATATCAGAAATGTCAATCAAGTAAAACTTTTGATAGATATAACATGATGAACATACTGTGAAAATTCACATTGAAATACAACCTAGGTTTGCTTCTGGGACTCTGAATTCTATCTTGGGTTGGCTGAATAATACATGGATTTTGCTCTATAAAGGTAGTCTACTACTGCATTTTTTTTGATAAATTTTATAGTGCTTATTTAAGAACGTAACATTTCACTAATGAAAAATTATCTGTTCACTTGCAAGCAAATTAAACTTCTGAAGAACTTCACTTAAAAAGATAAACAGTTGCCCTCCTCTACTGTCACCTTCTATACAATCATACCTTGTTTGTAAGCACCTTTTTTGAAAAATTATTGGCAATGTATTTATTAAAAAAACTTTATTTAATCACATTACCATTAAAATTTTATAATCACATCTTTTTTATATAATACAATGTGATTATAGAGGAGGATGATTGTAGTCGATTAAAGTAAAGTGATTATAAACGTTTTTGAATAGGTATTATATTAAATAATTTATGTAGATATAACTTGCTAAATCAAAAGTTCTGAGCTTAATGCATAAATTCGCTGAGTTTTTATAGGAGTCCAGATTTGTATTTATTCTAATTATTATATCTTTTATATTTTATATTTATCGGATTTACAAATTAATTTACAAAATTGTATTTTTAATATTTATGTAAGGTTTTTTTTGGTTTAATATAATGTAAAATAATAAAATTTTAAAATTAATAAATTTTTTTGTATAATTTCTAGTTTTAATTTTCTGAAAATAATTATATAACAGGCTGTTCAAATAAATTTATATTATATCTTTTTATTTAATAATTGATTTTTGTTGATAATTTTGGTAGTATGTAAAAGAATTTTATGTATTAGAATTTATTAAATAAAATATATTATAGTATTTAAATTTATTTGCTATAATATCCAAATTTGATAGTTGTAGTGTCTGAATTTGATTGTTATAATATTCAAATTTGATAGTTATAATGGTCAAATTTGATTGCTTTAATATTTGAAATTAATTGTATTATATTCAAATTTGATTGTTGCTATATCCGAATTTAATTGTTAATTTGTCTGAAATAGGTGGCCAAAACCTGTAAATAAACTACTAATGAAATCAATAAAAATTTAATTCAATAAAAAAAATATTAAATTTAACTTTGTCATTTGCCATATTT